TAGCCGTTAACACTGTTAAATTATATATATAAATCATAAAAGAAAGGTGTTCGAATAAAGGATATAATAATAATAATTATTATTATTATAATTATAATAATAATAATAATAATAATAATAATAATAATAATAATAATAATAATAATAATAATAATAATATTTCGAACACTGTATTTCCTTTCTTTGGCGATTTATATATATAATTTAACAGTGTTAACGGCTATCTTGATTTATATTATATGCAACTATTTGTTTATAGCCGTACCTATATTGTGTAATGGAGTGTGTCTTGTGGTATTTTTGAATCTGTTCAACCATGAAGCCTCCGTGGTCTAATGGTTATGCCGCTCGCCTTGATAGCGAGAGGTCGCAGGTTTCGAGTCCCGCCAGAGGCATTTTAATACACAATTTCTTTATTCATTAATTTACAGGACTACATTCGTTGAGAGCTATGCTACACGATGTATTATTATTATGTCCTTTATTCGAACACTTTATTTACCTTTCTTTGATGATTTATATACATATATATATATATATATATATATATATATATATATTCAAATAATATAAGTCATCATTTAACAGTGTTAACGGCTTTCTTTGATGATTTATCTTTTTTCATTTACCTTTTCCTCGATTTTTCTTGGTCCTTGGTTTTCAGTGCGGTGATCTTTTCGTAGCTCAAAAAGCAATCTGAACATCATCATCAGCTCTAGAAATACATCGAAGTTGCTGGCATCTTTCTCGATTTCATGTCTCCACAAATGTCGTAGCAATTCTTCTTCTAGAATGCCCTCCTCATCAAGCTTATTCCACATTGGCATCATTTTAGGCCACTACAGAAAATTAGGATGTTAGCGTATACACGTTAAAGAAACAATAAATTTAAAAAAAAATCAAACCTTCAAATGATTGTGTATTCTGTAGAAAAAATTACGATTACAGTAGTTTTATCCGGATCCGCGCAAGTAATTTTCTAGACGATCGACGCATGGTTGAGAGGGTCCTGGCACGATTTTGGCTTTTTTTTTAACTAGCACTTCCACCTAATTATCTCGCAGTTTATTGTTTCTGAAATTGCTTCAATGTGGCGAAAAATGTCCATTAAGACAAGATACAGACCATGAGTTCCGTGCGTTGGTACAAGCAAGCACTAGGCCTACCAGTGAAATAATTATGCCGCACCAATTGTATTTATAAATTTATAACATCGATTAGTTTGAAGTTAAGTAACCTACCATGGTAATAAAACAAAATTAAGAATCTGAAGAAAAATACAGTACGTGCACTGTTCAAATGCGATTGAAAAGAATTGTTTGAATGTTAGCACGTACATCTTTTTACTTTATCTCTATAGGCCTGAGAGAACTATAGAAGTTGTCTCAGATTGTTGTCTCAGATTAAGCCACCTAAAAAATGTTCAACCAAACACTGATAAAAAAAATAAGTTTTACCTATAGGAGACTCAAAGAGACGTACCTTGTCAATATCGTCTGGTTTTACCACTGTGATGATTTTGGTCAAGAAGTCGATCATCATATGTAAGTTTGTTATCACCGTGTTTTTTAATTTCTCGTTAGTCTTAGAGTACAGAATTATTCCAGTGTCATTTAGATAATCGAGGACAGTGATGATCGTGTCTTTTGCAATTCCACACTCAGCGGCAACAGAGGTTATCTATAGAATTGTTAAATTAAATCTTTAGTGTGATACATCTTTCACCCAAGGAACTAAAAGAATAAGAGATAAACATAATTATTCATAGGCATAGAAGCTATTACACAAATATAGAGGAAGCAAACAAACCTCCTCCAAAGACACCCGCAGTTTTGTTTTTGCAAGTTCTTGGACTTTGGACTGGAAATCAACCCAGTTAGTGGGCACAGTTCTTGCCATTGCCTTCATGTAATCCATGACGTTCTTCTTCAATTTCTCAATCCCTTCATCCATCTTTGCAGTGTTATCAACTGCGTATATCGTCCGGTCAACGTGTGTTTCGTACGCTGTATCTTTGATGGCATCAAATATTGTTTGGTACATTGTTTTAATCTTAAAACAAATTTGATAAAATTGATAGATAGATAGATAGATAGATAATCTTTAAGCCTCAGCTTATACGCGAGAACATGCGGTACTGTAAAGTCTTTAAAATATTTATGTTGCTAAAGAAAAAATGTTCATATTTTTTTTTTAATGTATTACAATCATAAACTACCAAATTACGATCGAAATACAGAGGGTCGTCTTTTGCGCAAGACATAAAAATACATGATTTTTGAAATCATCTTCGTGTTACGTGCGGATCTTCCGTAACATTCGAATTTACTACTGAAAGAACCTACTAATAATGTTAGTAGGATGACTGAACGCAATTTTTAAAACTGAGAAATAAGATTTTGATTAATAATTAAATGTTATTATTTTGAAGATTAGCCTTACATTTGGATATGTTTTTAGCCAGCTAAATGCAGTAGTAAGATCATAAAAAACTTTAAAAAGTATGAATTCCGATTGTGAAACTGGCGGGGGGTGGGGTGGTCGCCTTATACGCCCTACATAACACAAATTGTCCATAAACCTTCTCGAACTCGGGGGTCGTCTTATACGTGAGTATATACGGTAAAAAAAATGTTACATTATCAAACACTACGTTTGCCATTAAAAAAAACTATTTCAATTTCATTCACGGAGTGTTTCAAATCCAAAAAAAAAATCAAACAAGACAAAAAAAAAAGCGAAAGTAAAATTATAATGTATGGTACTGTATATGAACTTACAGATTTTAAAAGGAACACCAGCTATAATACAACATACAAAGAAAATCTTACACGTGTTTCTGCCTCACTCTTCGACAACTGGTCCTTGTGAGTTGCAATCAAACTGATTGGGGGAGAGGATATTTTCGTATCGTTGAAAAAAATTGTCTTCTTTTCAACATTCGGTAGAACAGCATGTTCAAATATTGAACGCATCCAGAAGAGAATCATCTCTAAATTAGTCATTGAAAATTTCCCCTAAACATTAAAGAAAAATAGCCCAATTTATGAAAGACAATTGAGATAAATAAAATGAATTCATTATATAGGCATAGGCCTACTGCTTATTTACAAAACTTAATGAATTACACTACAACCATGCAATGCAAGAATTAGAAGGAAGAATTGAATTAAGTGACATACTTTATGTACATCTCTTGATTTCACAAAATCATTCAACTCATCTAGTAGACTGAAGACTACGCCGTATGACGCTCCACCTGTCAGGTAAATCTACAAAGAAATATTTATGAATTCATGATTACGAAAATACACATTTAAACAAAGAAATTATCTATAAGTGAACTTGAAATTCGCTATATAAATGAATAATAATAATAATAATAATAATAATAATAATAATAATAATAATAACAATATCATTATTAGCAATACGCATGTTATTATTAATATCCTGACTACTGATCAAGGTCTTTCGGACGTTGGTCTCGTGTGCAATGGCCCATGTGCTGTTAAAGTACGCAGAGGGTGGTACACTCTTCGGGCAATAGAGGGTTGTCTCCCGATGTCCTGCCGAATTTACAACAAGCAGGACAGACTGGAAAAAAGTCTTCTTCGAACTTTCGTGGGTTATCCTGGGGCTCTGCGCCAAATAAATCCAATCTAATCCATGATGTGTATGACACGCATTCCTGGCACCGTAAACATTCCTTAGGCCTACCTTCAGTTAATGACCATAGGGATCTTTTTGGGCTGCCAATTTACGTATACAGGTGTTCCCGGCTTACTCGTACACAACCTATTAGCTCGAAGAACATTCACAAACAAAAATGTGAAGATTGTAAAACTTATCATTTAACATAGGCCTAATTCTATTGAATTCTGCATTCAGCATAACCTACCCGATGGGTTATATAGTACTTTAACTGCCCAGCGTAGTCCCATATGGAAGTTACTTCGCTTGGACCACCGACGTTGCTAGGTCCCTCATTAGCAAGTCTATTAACCAACAGTTCATGAAGTCTGTTTTGTAGTTTCTTTTCAACTGTATCATAGCTTCCCATGGATTGATTCGTTGATAAACCTCCAGCCCCCTGAGGATTCTGAGAATTTCCTGGAAAATAAAAAATAGAAGTAAAACTAGCGAGAGTTAAAACACAAAGATTATTGTAGTCTGAAGTTATGATGATTAATTATTTTGAATTACGATGATGACTACAAGGATAATGGAGATGATAATGATGACAATTTCTTAACGATGAAGTAAGTCATGTAATTATCATTGTTTGCTAAAACCTTAATAAATACCTCTTTTACTCAATGTCATTACACTGGTTGCTTCCTCCACTTTTACCTGTAATCAAATAATAAAACAATAATAAATACATTTATCTGCATTTTCAGAATAATAATAATTTTAAAAAAACAATCTACAGAGTGGTGGTTTGTAGTATATTAATATGATCATTACTTATATGTAATCGGAGTGATGTTTTGTCCTACCTGATGTCTTATCGTACTGTATGTAATATTATAGACATATTAGAAAATGACAATCTTTAACTTGAAAAAAAGTTCAAGAAAAGAAGCCCAACAGTACCGTATGTAAAATAAAAAGGATGAATAATTATAAAAGTAATTATAGAAAAATTTGATCATAAAATATTTAAAACAAATAACATGTTTACCAAAGATGATGAAGTGGGTGGTGTACTTCGTTGGCTTTCTGGCTGTTTCAACTTCTTTGCAATATTTTCTGCTATGGCGCCCTCTTTTATCTGATTTGTTAGCTCAGCCACTAAACCACATAAATAATAAACATTATATCCAAAACTAAGTTATATAGCATTATACTAACAATTGCGCAGAATAATAGATAAACTTGAAATAAAAAAAATTACAAAAAGAACATAGGCCTATACAAACGTTCATCAAATATTAGTTAAACTATTATAAAAATTATAAATATATTTAAAATTAAGAAAAAAAATATCAGTTAATCTGTTAATCCAATAATTTTCATATACCATCCACATCGGTCTTCTTCCACACGCTGCAGTCTTCACAAAAAGTTTGAAATACGGTTGTTGTTACTATACCGTCAGTTGATTCTTCATCCTCATTAAATCTATTGACAATATAATAACGGGAGTTGTAATTATATTGTAATTAAAACGTAATGAATTAACAAATATAACTACCAAATTATGCCTGCATTTATAACACAAATAGCAAATATAACATAATATAATGGATTTTCACAGCATAAAAATATAAATTGTTATATCAATTCTCCCTAAATTAAAGTTATTAATTGATAATTGATATGATGGTTGGACATCTTTAAAACATAGATTTCAATTATATGGTTTGAGGACTATTATATAGGCTAAATGGTTAGGTATATCAAGAAGCAGTCATATTAATATGACTTCTCATTGGTTACATACATTCCATTTGTAAAGTCTCTGATAATAAATATTTACACCCACATTTTTGAGTAGACATCAATTTGTTATAACCTAAGTCCGTGGTGGCACAAAACATGTCCGATAGAAAAAGATTACATTACATCGATTGTAAAATTTCCTATTCATAAAATTACGTATTTATACTATAGCCTATTTACATACCCTTACATTGTTGTTTTAATTACATTTCTACTGATTTCATATTATAAATGAATTGTATTTGCATTGCAAATTATTGCTATAAATTAGTTTTAGGTATACTGTAACTAATTATGTCAATAAAAATAAAAATGTATATGAAATATAATCGTTATATGAAAACATGCCAAAAAACCCTATTAAAGTAACAATTTCACGTGATTGTTTAGTGTCCCCTGAATATGGGTACCCCTTTTCATGGGAGGGACACCCCTATTAAGAGGACACTTTTTTCGGTCCCGAAGGTGTCCCCTTCATTTCATTCGTACGGGCCTTAGCATGTCTAAAAACAATTTTCTCAGTTCTACGGGCAACAGGAACAGGCAACAGAGCATCATCAATAAGAAAATCTGACCATAGGCACTTGGCAACGAATTTTACACGAATATATTTTAGTCTATTGAAAACTGTGGGTAGTTTTAAGTGGAGCAACCTTTCTTCATATGTTGGTCGTGAATCAAATGGAGTTTGAAAATAATATGGAGAGCAAGATCTTGTAAAGCGCCTCTGGACAGATTCAATTTGATTGATGGTGCTCTGCTAAAAAGGAAACCAAACAGTAGAGGCAAATTCAATAATTGGCATAATAATAGACTTAAATAATTTAGGGAAAACAGTTTTATCATTGCAGCGGACACAACTCTTAATGAATCCAGCAAGTTTATTACATTTGCTAGTAGTTCGAGCAATATGTTTATTTCATTTTAGATCAGATGCCATAAAGACTCCTAAATACCTATAGTCCGAAACCTGTTCAAGTACATTATCATTTATCGTATATTGAAATATAGTGTGTTCTTTGGATCTAGTAACCGTCATTACCTTACATACTGTGGTTTAGCGACATATTATTAGTATTACCCTACTGCGTTATAGCCATTATATCCTCCTGGAGTCTTAACGAGTCATCTTGTGTTTTAATAGTGCGAAAAAGGACCGAATCATCTGCATAAAGTGCAATATTCGATTTAACAACAGAAGGAAGCTCACATGTATAAAGATTTAAAAAGATGGGCCCCAAAACGGAGCCCTGTGGGACCCCCGATAAAACATCTTTTCATGTGGAAAGTAAACCTTGGTATAATACAGCTTGAGTTCGATTGATCAGAAATGATTGTAACCAGTTGAGAGTAGGTTACCAGTAAAACCATATTTCTGCAATTTTTTAATAGGTAAAAAATGACAAACCCTGTCAAATACTTTTGACCAGTCCAAAAACATGGGCAGCGGAAGCGGGTGGAGGGGGCCCGACCCCTCCCCCACCCACTTTTTGGAAAAAATATATAATGTCTGGAGATTTTTGTATGATCGGAAAGAAATGCAAGAAAAGAAGGAGGGAAGAAGGTGGAGAAGGATGGGAAAGAGAATGTTTATCCAGTACCCGACCGAGTTAAATTTTCTCGCAATTCACATTGGCCGATCTGGGGGAGGGGGTCATGGGTCCTGACCCCTCCCTTGGGCAACAAAAAAATGGGGAAAAAGAAAAGAATTCTAGACCTACCTTTTTTGGACCCGTGAGCTGATTTTTTTTTTTTTTTTTTTTTTTTTTTTTTTTTTTTTTTTTTAAATTTACAATAAGAAAATTAGAATTTTGAAGAACATAAAAGTCATTAAAACACTTCAAATGTCGGGAAAGCTCATTGCCTGCCATCTAGGAATCAAAATTTTCCCGGACCACCCTTTCTTTTTGGGATTTATCGATTCATGGAAAAAAGAATACGCATGCAACTATTCATTTGTTTATGTATGTATACACATAAAATAAAAAAATTAAAAAAAAATTACCTGACCTTTTTCAAGAGGGAAAACCTTGAATTTTGAAGAACTTTAAAAGTCATTAAAAGACATTTCAGAAGTCAGGAAAGCTCATTTCCCGCCATCTAGAAATCGAAATTTTCCCGGGGGAACCTGGACCCCCTCTATCTTTAGAGTTCATTGATTAATTGAATCATTTTCAAGAAGGTGGGGGGACCTTGAATTTTGAAGAATTTAAAAGTCATTAAAAGACACCTCAGAAGTCGGGAAAGTTCATTTTCCGCCACCTATGAATCAACATTTTTCTCCAGGGAAGAACCACAGGACCCCCCCCCCCACACCCACCCTTTCTTTTTGGGATTTATTGATTCATGGAAAAAATACGTACGCAACTTACTCAATCTTTTTTTATGTATGTATACACTCATAAGGCCTATATCCACTGTAATAACAATGGGAAAAAAATATCTGACCGTTTTCAAGAGTGGAAAACCTTGAATTTTGAAGAACTTAATTACTTTTAAGTTCTTCAAAATTTAAGGTTTTTCCCTATTGAAAATTATTATAATGAATCAATGAACCCAAAAAAAGGGAGGTTCGCGTTATTCCCGGGAAAATGTTGATTTCTAAATGGTGGACAATGAGCTTTCCCGACTTCTGAAGTATCTTTAATGACTTTAATTTAAAAGACACCTCAGAAGTCGGGAAAGCTTATTTCCTGCCTTCTAGGAATCAAACTTTTCATGGGGGAGAACCCCCGGACCCCCTTTCATTTTGGGATTCATCGATTCATGGAAAATTCGTATGCAACTACTCAAAAATTACCTAACCGTTTTCAAGAGGGGGGAAAACCTTGAATTTTGAAGAACAAAGTCATTAGAAACCTAGCTCAAAAGTCGAGAAAGGTCATTTCCCGCCATCTAGAAATCAAAATTTTCCCGGGGGAGGAATGTTGACCCCACCACCTAGATTTGATTCCAGATCTGCATGATTCATATTTCCATTCATCTTATAAGTGGGCCCCCCCCCCACTTTGAAAAACGTTCCGCCGGCCCTGAAAAACACGACATCAATCCTATGAGGTTTGTGTACATATCCCATTGGTGATAAACTGAGGCAAGCTGTGTTACACAAGATTTCTTGTTACAAAAACCATGCTGTGAAGAAGGCATTAGTCCCAATTTATCGGCATGGTAAGACATATGTTTACCAACAAAACGTTCCAGCAATTTTTCAGGAACCGAAGTTAGGGAAATTGGGCGATAATTTGTAATACTATCACTAGTACCAGACTTGTGGATTGGCACTACATGAGCTAGTCTCCAGTCTGTTGGCACTTTACCTAGATTAAGAGAGATGGTAAATATCTTTGTCAGAACAGGAGTAATTGAGACGGATGCAGGCTTTAACATTTTAGCGGAGATGCCGCCGGGCCCAGGGCATTTATTAACCTTCAAATTGTAAATTAACCGTTTTACCTCTTCTTCAGTAATCTGTAGATCTGAGAGTGGATCAACCAGAATGGGTGTTACATTCTGGACCCATGTGAAGGAGAGGGGTTAGAAAAGTTACTATGAAACAAAGAGTTAAACTGGTTAGCAATTAAAGTAGGATCTTCAGTTCTAATGTTATCAAAGGTAAAAGATGATGGAAAACATTTACGTCTTTTAGCATTAACGAACGCCCAAAAAGGTTTCTGGTCTTTAGAGTTAGTGGGGGTTTTACTGCAGTAATCATAATTTTGTATTTGTATTATTTTCTTTTCTTAGTTCAATACATACCGGTAACACTAACATGCATTAACACTTAAGAATTTAGTAGCAGAAACGGGAGGGATGGGGTGTGGGTGGCACATTTGATCCGCGCCTGAGTATTGTGGGAACAATTTCCTTGAGCTTCATGTTAAACAAAAACAAAAAGAGATCGTTGTTGATTTTTGTTAGAAGGGTGATTGCGGAGATATCATCTGTATCAATAATGAGCAGTGTGGAGCAAACTGTTTCATATAAAGATAGTATCTTGGGGTTGAATTCGACTGTTCACTCTCATAGGGCATGGGGAAACCGTATTGACTATATTATCAAAAACCTTAACGCTCACATGTACTGTCTGCGTAAACCTAAAGGTTTTAGGGTTAATACATATATTTCAGTCACTTTCTATAATTCAATAATTTGTTGTGCCTTGAGCTTAGTGTGGTGGTGAAGAAATATCAAGGGGAAGATATCACGTCAATAATGCAGTACGGATGTGGGCCAGTGTGTGTCATCGGGGTTCTGTCTATAGTGACAGGGTGGTATTAAAGTTTAGTAGCATTCTAAAAGATCTCGCTCATGCTCTCCACTATGCAATTATTGCTATAGTTGAACGGAGCGGCAGAATGTGGTCGGCAGCAGGGGTGGCGTCAGTATTTGCCCAACTGGGAGGGGAATCCGAGGTCCCCGACAGGGGAGGGCGAATATTTTACCGTTGTGGTTGGATTTGTAATTACAGTGACTTTTTTGATTTACAAATAGCGTGCAGATACCGTATAAACTTTAAACCCTCGACGAAGGGAAGAGTTACAGGGGCGGATTTAGAGGGGGTGCTAAACAGGCTTTAGCCCCCCCCCCCCTAAAATTTCATAGCCACTTCTTTTTAACTGCTTTTTGAAGGTCCAAATTAAAATATTGTTTAATGTTTTCTTCACACATCATATTTATGGGCTAAACATTTTACAGTAGTTGTTTTTCAGTGATAAAATAAAAATGAAATACGTTTTTTAACCGATTAGCGGACAAAAAACGTAGCTAAGAAAGCTGCTTTTGACTTGCCTTCATGCTCAAATCTCGAAGCAAAGGCCGTTGTGTAGCGGTCTCAACGTTTGTATAACACACTAAACATTTCGTGTCGAGATAGTTGTTCCAGTTTAGTTTTTTCTTGATTGCTTGTCGTCGGATACTACTACTACATTTAAAACATATTTTAAGGGGAATTTTGTCGTCTGAGGTTCTCCTTAACATTGTCAAATTTTACCTTTAGGGACAGTATTTTATGATGGAACTGTTTTCACCCTCTTCATTGTCTTATGTTCCCCATGGCAACCCTTTCACCAGGATTTTTAAAGAATGGTGAAATTTCAGAAAATGTCCTCAAAATTTTAAGGGTGGTGCACAAAATTCTAAAGGGTGGATACAAACAATTGCTATTTTAGTACATAGCAAGTGACACGCTAAATCTGTTTATTTACCTTGCATTTGCATTAAATTAATTTATTTACATATATTCTTGTTATAATAATGATTTACTATAAATATTGTTTAACATTTACGGAAATAAATGTTGTTTAATGAATGAATAATTACTCAAATTGCACTTGACAACAACAACTAGGCATCAGTTATTATTTTTAATGGTGTCTACCACAAATTTCTTCTTCAATTATATACAGATACTAAATAAAAGCTCCATTGTACAAGTAAATTTATTCAGTTTGTTTTCAACGTAGTACTATCAGATTGTTTTGAAAGCTTAATGCAGTCACTATAACAATATTCGAATTTCATAAATTTCGACTTCTGGAGGAATTCAAAATCCACCCACTCCTGTGTTGGAACCCATTATTATTTCTTTATACAAGAGTATATATATATATACACACATGTATATATATATTATTTATATAAATATATATATATACATACATACATACACACATACACACACAAACATACATACATCTAATAGCTAAAGCGTTCAGCTACCCCCCTCTGAACCCCATCTTATCGGACGGAGACACCTCCTCCCAAACCTAGTCTCCGCAGGCACTTGGAGGCACTTTACACATATACCTAAAGCCCCCCCCCCACTAACCAAAACTTCTGGATCCGCCCCTGGAGTATAGAAAATGATTGCCGTAAAATACTGAACTACCGTACTCGTTGCTCGAAATAACTGCACGTAGGCCTCCTACACCATTGCAGGGAAGTTTAACATCTTTTAAATGCAAGCACACAATTTTTTAATATAAAATACCTGGTAAAAGTAAATAGACCTCAAGTGCTTACGCTTTTCCAAGGATGTGATTTACACAGGAGGTCTTCCCAGCTCCTTCCTTCCCCATAAACATGAATCTTGCATTAATTACTGTCATTTTACCATTTTGCATTTCATATTTGAAGGCTTTCACTGCAGCTTCGCCCCTAGCTTTGATTTCACCGGGTACCGACAGTTCTTTTTGACACAAAAGATAGAATTAAAAGATTAAATTAAATATCTTGAATGTTTAATGTCTTTTTTGTACGGTGTCTGCATATTAATATATTCGCTCTAAATTTGTTATTCCCAAGAAAACAACGTTGTTAAAATAATAAAAATAATATTGGGCAAATTACAAAAATATTAAATAGTCATTTACGAATTATAACATAATAAAGTGATATAAAAGCTTTGAATTTTGATAAAACAGCTACAATAATCTAATTAAATGAATATGCAATGGATCTTAAGCTTACCTATAAGTAACTTTCTAAGTGATTGCTTCTTTTTAATTCTCTTGGTTCCGTATTCGCTACATTCGTTATCATTATAATTATCAAGCGGCGTCATTCCTAGCTGCAATAACAGACACGAGCACACGTTTCATTGTATGACGGTTACAAATTAAATCAACACATTAGATAAACACAACTTATTTGAAAGTACAATGAACAAACCATCATTAACTATCTTCATCTGCAAATTAAATCGTTTCAGGGTATTACTTTTCTTTATGGAGGCATAGAGAAATAATTACTTGATAAGATTGATTTTAAAGGTGCAAACCTAAAATTTAAAGCGCGTTCTAACACTTCGCAACTCAATGGCAGAGTATCTAAGTGGAGCGATGACATGGACGAGATGCCCTTTGCAAATCAGAAATCGAAGATTTAAAACATTTTGTATTCACTTGTAGAGGCACTGCAATTACCAATATAAGAGTTGATGTGTTAAAGAAGCTTGAAAATGAATTGTATAAAACACACCACCAAGATATTTGGAACTATTTTATTAGTAGTGATTTAAATACAAAACTGAATATGTTACTAGGCAGTGAGAATATATATGCAGAATATGAACAAAACGAAACATCCAATAATATTTTTGATATGGCTCTTAAGTCCTTTTTAAAAAGAGCATGGAAAGCGAGATGTGAAATTTTAGTGAATGTAAAAACATAAAATAATTCTTACCAATTTTATATATTTTGTATGTATTTTTTTAAATACTTATATTTCTTGTATTGTAGGCTTACGTGTTTATACTAGACTGTGCTTTAGTGTACCGGTACGAATGTACTGTGTTGTTTGAATGTTTTCATTGTGAACGCACCACTTTGATAGTGTGTGCCACTGATATAAAAGTGGACGATTCAATAAAGTTATTATTATTAGTATTATTATTATTATTATTATTATTATTATTATTATTATTATTATTATTATTATTAACACAGTGAAGTTGCACGTTAAATAAACACAGTGATATTATAGTTAAATAAACATATGGCCTAAAAAAACATTGGTGAAAGTAGTAGGCCTAGATCAAATAACTAACACTATCTGCTTCGATTAATTTACAGTTATGTAAATTAACATAAAATCTCTCAATACTAAAAAAAATAGTTTTGAAAATCAAAATAATCCTTATCGGGTAATTATTTATAATATGTTACTGAAAATATATTTATTACGTTGTCTTCGGTTAATAAAAAAAAGTTGTGTCTATGCAGTTGTTGTATTTAGCCTCGTTGACATCTTATGATTCATTTTATTTTTCTGTACATTACCTTATTTTGTATCGACATTGAGGCGCCATGCATCATCAGACACATGGCTGTTTCTCGATGTTTATCATAATTCATACCCGGATGACTTAGACAGTGATGTAGTGGTGTGCGTCCATGCTGCAATGAAATGATAATGTCAAGTTTGTTACACACGCACAACACAAGCATTACGGAAATAATTAAGAATTACAGGGGCGTGCTGTGGG